TAACAAAACCGCAACAACTTCATTCCGTTGTTGTTGAGGTCGCTAGGGCCGTTTTTCCCAATCACGCCGTTCCACTTTTCAGCGTCTACTGCGACATGCGCATTAAAATCGCCCATCAATATGAGGGATTCTGTATTCGGCACTTTGGACAGAACACAGTGCACTTCCTCAAGGAAGATATGATATTCTCCCTCCAGATTGGGCGCATAGACCTGTACCAGGGCATCGCTTTAGCCTGTTGCAGCTTCAGTCGGAGGATTACCACCATTCGGCTGACTGGCTTGCAATCAATAATTCTATCGGCAAGGTTGGGTTCTACCAGAACACCAACACTGGCCTTAGGGCGAGTGGTGATATGGATGCCTGAGTAAAATAGATTCCATCCGTAGAGGTTCAGGAGTCCAGAGCCTTGGCGTTTCGCTGACGAGAGTGGAATAATGTCGAGTTGATACCTCATCGGCTAACTCTTTTTCTTTCCGTCTGAGTGAGGATTCCAATTTCCGACTTTAAGCTACTATTTGTGGTGGCGTTGTCATGGAGCTTTTTCTGATGTGCTGTGATGATATCGCGCTGTCTGCCTCGTCCGTTCAGAACTGTTAGCAACTCCGTTGCTGACTATTATCTTGGTCGTCGTTCCGTCGAACTTAGTCACCCGTTGTTATGGTGCTACGCCCTCGGCTGGCAGGAGGCAACGAGCAGGTTCTGATCGCCGACTTTTCGCAGTCTACCTCAGTCCCCCAACAGCCTGCGCAGCTCTTGGTAACGCGGACGACGACAGAGCCGATATAGTTTTCGATTGCGTCAATACCATGTGCAGGAGGTGACGATTTTTGACGGAGACTTCGCCGCGGTCTCCAACCCTCCTCTTTTCTGAAGTGGGCTTGGGACCGTTAACGGCGTAGCTGTGCTGATGAAACCAATGCAATATGGAGACATAAAGGTAAGAAGACTTTGAAAAAAAAATTTCGTGAGAAATTCCTCGAAGAATATCATAGTAAGTGATACGTTGAGGATAAAAGAAGTGGCAAATGATGGAGAGAAAATATTGGATGTCAACTCTGCCGCATTCGGTCAGAAGGTCGTTGAAGTTTAAGCTAGCCACATCGAAAGAGGTCTGAGGTGATTTCTTATTTGTATTAGTCCTCGATGTATATGACCTTCTTTTATTGCCGCTACTGTCTATAAGGAGATCTTTGCATTCCTTTTCACTATTATCCACTCTGTTATTGTTCCCAGTGCTTTCTGAGGAAGTCTGCCTAAAAGTCATACGGTAGACATTAGCTTATATCTCTCGATTCCTGTCATAATCGTCCACATCCACAGGAAATCGTCAAGACGAGTCAGAGAAAGGCTTTTCGGGGACTCCTTTCACCTTCATAGCTTCAGTGGTGTACAATTAAAACAGCTTGTTGACGTTAGTACTCCAGCATTAGATATGCATGAATAGCTTTTTTCTGATCAGTTGAAAGCGAAATGGTTGTTTTGTAGACTTGCATGACATGATGAGTGTTTTCGAGAATTTTCGTCATTAAAAATCACCAGTTGGAGCTTATGAAACTTTTTAACTCTGACCAGTTTTCTCTGTTAACTGAGGACATCACGGCACGCACTCCCTGTACCATCGATGAACCGTTCCTTATGCTGATTGTCACACATTTTGCAGCATTATCACGGACGGCTACGCGTGCATGAAAAATTGCGTGCAGCCGGAACCCCAGTGCCTAGCGAACCATACGATGACCATCGTCTACCAGTATATCGCCCTACCTGCTATCAGCACGATCACCCACCCGGTCGAAGTTTCCAGGATCCGAGCAGAGGCTACCGACGGCATATCGCTTTTGACCATAAAGTATATTCTAGACAAAAGAAGTAGCCAAAGGTTCATCGTCATACAAGAAAAGCAATATGGTAAATAAGCGAACTTTTTGCACAGTTTACTTGTCGTTGCGTATCATTCACCGTTTAAAATTGTAGACAGAAAGTTGGGTTATCACTTCAGTTTACC